AAAAAAATAAAAAATTAATTATTTAAATAACACATAAAATTATAAAATAAATAAAATAAAATTTGAATTATTTTTAGTTGCGTCTGATTTCTCTTCACAGTTTCTTGCATTCGCAATTCTGGTTTTTTTTTTTCTTTCTTTTTTGAGTCCGGGAGTTTAATGACTCTGTATATAAATTGGGGTGGGCTGGTCTTTGCTTTTGGGCTAAGAGCATGATTGAATGATAGTTATCACACGCCATGTCTTCCTAATTGGGGCTGAGCATTGGGTCCGGTTATATTTTGATATTTGTAGGTATTTGATTTATTTGAATAGATATTTTATCTGTACTTGTGAATAAACAGTTAAATATCATATATGAAAAATGCATACTACTAAGTATCGAATAAGTATTGCGTATGGGAGTCTATATTTGCATATCTGATCTGTGTACCTGATCCATATACATGACCTATATATCTGAACCATATATCTAACTTATATTTTAGTTTTATATGGTTATTTTTTTTTTTTTGAACATATTTTGCAAGGGCAGGTTTTGAACCCTGCCGGGGGAGGGGGAATGCACCGTGGCTAAGCCACTAGGCCTCAAGGGCCAGTGCGTTTTATATGGTTAATTTGTAATACAATGTTATGAAATTAAAATGTTTATGTTATTTTTTTTCTTCTAACTGTAAAGATTTAAATGAAGAAAAATTATTAAGATTTTTGTTTGTATTTCTTTTGTTATTGTATATATAAACTTGTGTATGTATAAGTATATATACTCACATATTTTGTTTAGGTTGAATGCTAAATTGAGTCCCTCAACTTTAAGAAATGCACATTTTTTATCTCTCAACAATTTTTTGCATTTTCTTGATCCCTCGACTCTAAAAATTGCACAGTTTTGGTCCCTCCGTTAGTTAAGTATGATGTGGCAGTTAAATAATTTCATGTGGCATTATCTTTTAATTTTTTTGATGATGTGGCAATAATATATATTTTAATTCTGTTATATAAATAAATAAAAATACCACGTAGATTAATATTTATATTTTACATAAAAACAAATAAAATTACCTAATTACCCTTGCCTTCCCAATCCCTCTTCTTCCCCTTCTTTCTTTCTCTTTCTTTCTTTCCTACCCTGGGTCTCCACCAGGATGGATTCCAATGGCTGCGACGAACCCAGCCTACTGGGTCTCGTCGGAACCCAGCCTGGCTGGGTCTCCTCGAACCCAACAAGGCTGGGTTTAGACGAGACCCAGCTGGGTTCTGATGAACCAAGCCTTGCTGTTTCGATGCTGGATTCATGTTTTATCATTCTTCTTTCGATTTTCATTCCCAGTTGTTAATAAATTTGAGAGTTGATTTACAATTTGATTGTATTTTTTTTGGAATTTGACTAGAGTTTGATTGATATTGTTTATTGAAGGGTTAATTTGATTTGATAAGATCTACTAAGTTTGAGGCTTCAATGAAACCCAGTAGTTGGGTTCAATTTCTCAAGTTCTCTTGAGAAAAAAGAAGAAGAAGAAATGGGTTAAGATCGATTTTGTAGAAGAGTGGAGATGAGAGAGCATTTAGAGAAGAAGAAGAAATGGGTTAAGATTGATTCTGCAAATAGAGTGGAGATTGATTCTGCAGATGGAGTGGAGATTGATTTTGCAGAGAGTGAAGATGAGAAAGGAAGATGACATATTGTCAAAGAAGTCCAGATCAGTGCATTTTTAAGTTATTTTCGCCATGTCATAAAAAAAAATAAAAAATGCCATGTGACCGAGTTAACAGCCAAAATTAACAGAAGGACTAACGGAGTGCATTTCGTATAATTAAAGGATCAAAAAAGTACAAAAAATTACTAAAGGACCAAAAAAGTGCAACTCACTAAAGTTAAGGGACCAAATTTAACATTTAACCTTTGTTTTATATATAAACTTATATTATGTGTATGAACTTATAGTTATATATTAACTTATGTATCTTTAGTGTAAAATTTAATGGGCAAACAAATATATCTGTAGGTATATCTATACCCAACAAGTTAAATATCA